TAATTCCAGGGTGCCTTGATAATCGAAGCAGACTTTGTGCTGTTGAAGCTAAAGAGGTGAACAGAGTAAGCCTGATTCACATATCCAGGTTTAACAAATTAATATGTTTTCATGCACAATAGAATTGTAAATTGTATATGGGCTGATTCATTTATGTCATGCTCATAACTGTGCCTGGACTAGAACACGGAACTGCTGCTTTTTCTTTCCTAATCCATACTATCGTCATTTTTCCTCTACCACTTTTGTATGTTTGTCATACTCTTGTGACCCGCTAATTCCAGGGTGCCTTGATAATCGAAGCAGACTTTGTGCTGTTGAAGCTAAAGAGGTGAACAGAGTAAGCCTGATTCACATATCCAGGTTTAACAAATTAATATGTTTTCATGCACAATAGAATTGTAAATTGTATATGGGCTGATTCATTTATGTCATGCTCATAACTGTGCCTGGACTAGAACACGGAACTGCTGCTTTTTCTTTCCTAATCCATACTATCGTCATTTTTCCTCTACCACTTTTGTATGTTTGTCATACTCTTGTGACCCGCTAATTCCAGGGTGCCTTGATAATCGAAGCAGACTTTGTGCTGTTGAAGCTAAAGAGGTGAACAGAGTAAGCCTGATTCACTATAGGGACTGCTCTGTTGACATCCGCCCCTTGGCGCTCATATGACCTTCTGCAGTGTTGATCGCATTAAAACCTCTACTAAAACTAAAACTATTCAACTTTCTCCTTGACGTCATCGTGACCATGTTTCCCTCTGCTTCCACAGATGATGGTTATATCACGGTGGCCGATTTGCTCTGACGGTCATTTTCAGACAGGTCCAAGTCTTTTGAGTCTTCTGGACGGCTTCCCTTCGCCTGAGCCGTGATCAACAAATTAATACTTCGAAAAATTCTGCTGATTTGGTTAATCTTTTTCTGACAAAAATTACATAAAGCTTTTTTCCAAGTTGGTTTGAGATTTGCCTTTTGCTCCTTTGTCTGTTTCCTTTCGTTTTGTTTGATTATTTGTACATAAATTTAAGATAAGATAAGATAAGATAAGATTAACCTTTATTGTCCAGATCTGTATTATCCAGACATTTGCACATTGATTTCATGTTTCATAAATACAGACAACTTTGGACTAAATAAGCAAAGTGGAGAGGGATTTCGTGCAAACTGGGCAAATACATTCTCCGCATAGTCAGGCCAAGGCATTTAGCTTAGTCAAGATTTCAAGATTTTTAGGAGGACGCTGGAAGAGAGCAAATATAGCGGATCAGACCCACAGCTCAACCACAGCTATAATAGCATTTGTATGACTATGGAGAGGACATTTCATCCTTGTTTTGATAAGCAAGGAAAAAATACGGGAGGTGGCAACCCCAACCCTTACAGCAGAAATTGAGAAAAAAGACCAGATTTACGAGGAACTTCCGGATGCAATCAACAACGTCCCAAAAACAGACCAACTGTTTCTCATGGGCGACTTCAATGCAAGAGTTGGTACAGAAAACAAAGTATGGCCCACCTGCCTTGGACATTTTAGGCTGTGAAAAATCAATGAAAATGGCCAGAGACTCTTAGAATGCTGCACAAATAACAACATTTGCATCATTAACACCTTCTACAGTGACAAGGACAGACACAAGGTTTCTTTGTGCCATCCAAGATCACTCCATTGGCGCAAAATCGACTTCGTCATCGTCAGAAAGAAAGATGCCAACATTGTAAAGCGAACAAGATCCTTCTACAGCGCAGACTGTAACACAGACCACCTTTTAGTTATAGCTAAGGCAAAGATAGTCACAAAGAAAACACCAAGAGCTGAAAAATAAAAATAAACCTAAGATCAACATAAGAAATACCTAAGATCCAAAGTTAAAAGTAAAATTTCAAGAACATGTACAGAACAGCTCGAACATCTTGATAGCTCATCCCCAGACAACACGTAGAATAGCTTTAAATCACTAATTTAAAATTCTGCGTTGATAGAAATACCTTGCAAGGAGGACTGGGTTGAAGCCAGTACATCAACACTTGCACCACTACTCGAGAAAAAGCGTAAAAGCCTGATAGAACACAACATCCCACAGGAGTGGCTACACAGCTACCTCTTGCCTCTTCCTAAACCAGGCAAAGACCACTCCAACATCAAGGGATACAGAATCATCACCATGCAGAACACGTATGGAAAGATCCTGGAAAAGTTTGTGGCCAAAAGGCTGGCAATTTACCTAGAGAGGAAAAAGCTCCTTCCAGACGGGCTTGGAAGCTACACACCAGGAAAAGACACCTGCACAAACACGCCTGTGTTAGCCTATGATGTATTTGAAGTTTTCCAGAGAAAGGAGGAGACAACAATGGCTGCTATAGACCTAGAGGGTGCTTACAACCGAGTTGATTACGGCAAGCTCATGGATCTCCTGATGGAAATGGATGTTGACCCCTGGTTGATACAATGGATCTCCGAAGCTCTGTTTGAAAGGAAGGTGGTGCTGACAAGTGGTCGATGGATGTCAGACCCAGTAGTGATTGCCACAGGACTGCCACAAGGATCAGCATTATCACCGGTTCTGGTCAACATATATACATCCAAAATTGCCAGGATCGGTGTAAGTGGAGCAGGAAGAATCCTAACATTTACAGATGATGTGATGGTCTACGGACAAGGTCGTGATAGGCTAGCGGTTGGGAGGATGCTACAGGACAGGCTGAGCAAGGTCGCAGATTGGTGTGACGAATACAATGCAGTCATCAATCCAGACAAAGCACAGGTCATCTGGTGCTCACTCAACGACCGTATTGTGAAAGATCCTACGCCTCCAATTGTGTTTGACCACTTCCTCATAGACAGACAGCATGAGCTGAAGTACCTGGGAATCACTTTGGACAGGACACTTTCGTTCCGAAGACACATTGTGCTTTCAGGGCTCAGAAGGGTATCAATGTAGTGAAGACCTTGGCTTCAGCGGGAAATCAACAGAGAGTTCTTTTTCTCCTAATACAGTCATAGACTATGGGCTGGGCATCCTCTCCCTGTCCAAGACTCAGATAGACAGGTTGGAGAGAGTACAGAATGCAGCTATGAGGGCCGTTCTAGGTTGCACAAAGGACACCCATGTTGTCTGTATGAGATACATCCTTCACCTGGCCAGCATCAGAGTGAGGCATAAGGTAGCACAGGCAAAGCTTTACTTGAATGTTTTGGGAGACCCGAGGCACCCTTTTCATGACAACCTGGGCAACATCAAAGGAAACAGGATCAAACGGGGCAGCTCATGGATGGCAGAAGCCGTTGACCCCTTGAGGAAAGTTTGTGGCATCGATGAAATATGCTGTGGAAAGGAGTGGTTTAAACTGAGCCACGATTGCAGAAGCCTGGCCAACGTTCACATCACTATGGGTCGTGAAAGACGGGAATGTGCTGCTGTCATTAACGACAATGATATACGACAGTTAATTGAGGAACATTCCAAGCCAGAGAACCCAGTGATCTATACGGATGGATCAGTCAGGAGGGGTGAGAGAAGTGGATGGGGTTTTGTGGTGTACTGTGGGAACAAAAAGGTTCATGGCATGTCAGGGGCCATAGAAAGAACAACTTCAAGCATGAAAATGGAGATTGAGACCGTAACAAGGGCGCTTCTCTTTACTCAAACTAACAAACAAACAAAGCAACAAAGCCTGATAGCATTCTGAAACAATTTCGACTTTCTGGACAGCTTACAGTGCAAGCAGTCCTTTTACAGGCGTAAAATGTTAATTCATTAACATATTTTTGGCTGTCTGTTTCCGGATATCCATTAATACTTGAACGATATGAGGAAAACTAGTGTAATTTCCCAAGGACTTAACGTCGGGCCTGAGCATCGAACCCCTCTGCAACCTCACGATTACAAGTCCAGTTGCCTAACTCTAACGTAGGGTGCCCATTCGGGGATCAGGTCGGGTTGGGTCGGTATGGGTCGGTATGGGTCGGTTTGCAAGCCATATTGAGGACGCAAACCGGCTATCGTGGCACATGCCGAATGCACCCGACTCGTCACCTAAAAAACAAACGCGTTTGTTTTCAGGCGACGAGTCGGGTGATCATCCCGACCCGACCCGGTCCGACACAGCCCGACCCGACCCAATCCCATCCGCAATGGGCACCCGGTATTAGACTACAGCACAGGCGCGTATGATCTGAATGAACAATTGTCAACAATTAGTGAAGAGCGAGGTCGGTCTAGGCGTTACATGAATTTTGATGCTGATTTCAAAAAGCTAAAAAGCAAATTCACATTTGATGGACTAAGATTTAGCTTTAAAAGGAGACTGTGTACATGTATTTTCTTTTAAATAAATCGCTATGTCTCAAGTTCCACGAAACCAGTGAACAGCTTATAATAATACACTGTCCTGAAATGACTGGGATCCAAAATATTTTGCATGAACAGTATTTGCAAACATATCTAAAATAAAGGTGTCAATTTGAAAATCTCGTATATGATATCAGTACTGTTTTACGTGTCCATCAACACAATTAGACACACATCGGCATATCGAGCCTTAGGGGGCGAACCTGTACCAACCAGAGCTGAGAGGGAAACAACGTCCTTTCAGAAAGATCGAAATATTCGATTGAAACAGTTTTCCAAAATGGCAATCCATCTCAGGACTTCTGCTTGCGACAATGGAGTACTTAACCGTTACTCTACATACAACAGTTTTGATTCTCAAAACAATAATAATAATAATTATTATTATTATTATTATTATTATTATTATATTATAATAATTATAATAATTATAATAATAATAATAATAATAATAATAATAATAATAATAATAATAATAATAATAATAATAATAATCAACAGCCAACTCTATGCGGTTTACACTATACTATTACCCCAGCAGACCATAGAATACTCAGAAACATTCTCAGCTTCCCGTGAAGTATACAGTACAAGCCGCTGTTGAGAACTAAAACACTAACACACAGGCATGATCTTTCACTGTCTATAGCTGAGTACCCAATCCCACCAGGGTGAAGTGAGGAAAATGTGTATGAAGTGACTTTACCATGAACACAACGTTGGGCCCCTGACGGGATTTAAACTTTCGACCTTACGGTTGCGAGTCCGAGAGCCTAACCACTAGGAAGATTTCAATGAAAGGCGTCTTGATTCGTTTGTTAAAAATACAACCAACAGCAGCTGTTACTCTATTACCAACACTACCGTCATTTAAGGGCTGGTAGGGCACCTGAAGGCTATCTCGGCTATTATAAACGCTAGATAGAGGGCTCATATTTGCTCTGGGACATCATGTTTCATTGTTTAAAAAAGTAAGTCAGGTTTGGTTGTGAAATTGGATTTTGTATACCTATTTGGATCCCGTTTTATTCACTTGTTTATCAACAAAAACACTTGGAATATGTCCTGTACCTGGAAAAAGTGTAGATCTAACGGCTTATTACGTAACGGCGGAAAAACGAAAAGGCCATTTATAAAAAGTTACATGTGCAATGAAAAATTCCTCAATTCTATTTTTAGAACTGGCTGTCGTTAACATTCTGTGAAAGTTACATTAAAATCGAATAAGACGCAAAGCAGAAAAATGGGATGAAGTGGGTGAAAATATCATTTTGAGAAAACGGCTGATAAGGGTCAGATAAGGTCAAAATAGCTCTCTTAGCAGTAAAAACCTTCACAACATATTTCAAACTAAAACATATGGCAACTACTTGATAATATTAACAGAGCAGAAATAGAATGGAGGTTTTGTTACTAACACGGCAACATTTATGCGGTGGAAAACAATGTTTTTGAGACAAAAAGTGGCAATTATTTATTTTTTTAAAGTCCCTACCCTCTGCTCTAATATCCCTTCAAACACCACTTCAGGGTACAGAAACGCTCAACATACGTTTTTGGACATTGTTCAGGAGATATCCAGAAAATATAATAAGTGGTAACCCCAG